GTTGCTAACCCAGCTTGCTCTTGGACCTTTCTCTACTCTGCATTCCTGTTATTGTCCTTCTTGCCTTTGGTCCCGCAGTTCTATGCTTATCTATTTCTGAACTGGCTTGTCCTTGGACCTGATTTCACATGCCTGCCTGCTACTGACCCAGCCTGTCTTGGACCTGCTCCTGCCTTGCCTTTCTATTGCTGACCCAACTATTTCTTGACTATGACTTGCCTCTGATGATTCCCCCAATGTGACTTCAACCTGCCTTCTGCCCATGACTCTGCCTGCCACCCTGGTTTCTGTCTATCTCCATGGTTGCTGACTTCAGCTTCATCTCAGAATACATTTCCAGACTGCCATGTTTTCCTGTGCCCCTGTTAGCTGCTGCTCCACCCTACACCTCTGTGGTGACCACTCCAACACCCCTGCTCCTTGGTGTCATCTTCACCCTACACCTCTGTGGTGACCGCTCTAACACCTGTGGTCCTTAGTGTCATCTTCACCCTACACCTCTGTGGTGACCACTCAAACAGCTGTGGTCCTTAGTGTCATCTTCACCCTACACCTCTGTGGTGACCACTCAAACAGCTGTGGTCCTTAGTGTCATCTTCACCCTACACCTCTGTGGTGACCACTCCAACACCTGTGCTCCTTGGTGTCATCTTCACCCTGCTCTTTGGCTCCATCTTTATCATTAGGTACACTTAGGTACACTTCTACCAGTGTGTACCTGCTGACCAGACATTTGGAATCTGTGCCCTTCTATTCTATTGTTCTATATCAGAGGGTTTGGATCACGGGTTCAGGGGAAGCCCTCTCACCACTTTAGCCTCTTACCAAGTAGATGATACTCCCCAATCCCTGACACCCCAACACCAGTTGTGTTTTTTAAGTTTTGTGCTGCCCTAGGCAACACAAATCTGCTGACCTCCACTCCCCTGGCCACCACCCCCCATCTCCACCTGTGACCCCCCACACACACCACTGCCCACCAAACCCCTTCCCCCCAGGAGAGAAGGAGGGAGACTCACCATCACAGCTCTCTGGAATCCCAGCTCCCTTCTCGGAGTCTCACAGCTGCTCCACTGGTTCCCCTCACTCCACTCTTCCACCTGCTGCCCAGCCCTGGTGCCCTTTAGAGCCTCCTCAGCATGACCCAGAACAACCAGCATCCTTTCTTTCGGAAGGGGGCAGCACCCTGAAAAATGCCACCCAAGGCAAATGCCTTGTTTGCCTCACTGCAAATATGCCCCTGCCCAGCACCCATCAAGTTGATGCATCAGCATAGAAATCACACAAAATTTCCATTCACAGAAAACAATTTTATTTCCTAATTCCTCCTCCCATCACCAGGACACATCTAGTGATTATAAGATACAACATCACAATGATGCATTATATTAGGATCCATTATAAAAGTGATCCAGTGAAATTCTATTGGTGATCCATTCTATGGGGACACATTATATTAGGATCCATTATAAAAGGGATACAATAGAATTCTATTGGTGATCCATTCTATGGGGACACATTATTTTAGGATCCATTATAAAAGGGATACAATAGAATTCTATTGGTGATCCATTCTATGGGGACACATTATATTAGGATCCATTATAAAAGGGATACAATAGAATTCTATTGGTGATCCATTCTATGGGGACACATTATTTTAGGATCCATTATAAAAGGGATACAATAGAATTCTATTGGTGATCCATTCTATGGGGACACATTATTTTAGGATCCATTATAAAAGGGATACAATAGAATTCTACTGGTGATCCATTCTATGGGGACACATTATTTTAGGATCCATTATAAAAGGGATACAATAGAATTCTACTGGTGATCCATTCTATGGAGATACATTATATTAGGATCCATTATAAAAGGGATTTATTAGAATTCTATTGGTGATCCATTCTATGGGGATACATTATATTAGGATCCATTACAAAAGGGATACAATAGAATTCTATTGGGGATCCATTCTATGGGGACACATGATATTGGGGACACATTCCGGTTCTATTTATCAGACATTATTACAGTCAGATCACTATATTGGGGATAAATCCCATGTTTTCTGTCACTAGTAAATCTCGGGATCATTTCTTCATGTTTCCACGGAGATTTTTCCATCGATTTTCATCTCTTTCTATTTGTAGATCGATTATTCATTTCTATTTATTCTCACAATAAAATAATCAATAGACCAAACTCATTGTAAATGTATTAATAATATGGAATGAGACAAATCTCAATATTCCACCCAATCATAGTGATCAGAGGTAGAAATCTTACTTTTATTTATATTAAAGAAACCTGCAGGATACCAGCTTAAGCCCCTCCCACTCCCTTATTCTATTAAAGGATTTAAATCCCCCGATATTTTCCTTAAAATTGCTTTCAGCCAGCATATAAACGATGAAAAAAAAGCCCAAAATGTAACAATGGTCAGAGAATGTGCAGCGCTTAGCTTGTCACACTGTCGGGTTTATGCATAATACATTTGTTGGCTGAATGCCATAAGTAATCACGCAAGCTGGCTGGAATTTCCCAGTATTATTTCTAATAGGTTAATTCCTCTGCCACCAGCTCCATCTAGTGGCCAAAATGCGGTATAGCTTTCTAAAATACCTCAATCAGGAAAAAAAATGCTTTATGGGCACTAGGTGGCACTGGTGAAATAGGAGCTATGTATAGTAATGAAATACGGTGATTTTCTCTCTAAATATGATGATCTTTGTCACATCTGCAGAACGAACGTTTATACATAGACCTCTAGTGTCTCCTTGTTGTTTAACCCATTCCCACCTGAGGGTAAAACTAATCGATTGTGATTTGAACAGGAATGTGATGTGATTCCTGTCCAAATGTGGTTTCCCACACAGCTCCTGTGTGAATCCAGGCTTGCCATAGTGACCTTAAGCCTGAGTTCATACAAGAGCAGTGCAGCAAACCTCCTTGCATGATGAGTTCCACCAGCTTCGGCTCCTGATCCCACTGTGGACATCAAGGATCATGGCTTGGGCTCCTCCTGCCTCTCTCATGGCTCTCTCCCCCCAGCCTCCAGTGGCTCTCTCTCCCTCCAGCCTCTAGCGGCTCTCCCTCCCCCCAGTCTCCAGCTGCTCTCTCTTCCCTCAGCCTCCAGCGACTCTCTCCCCCCAGCTTCCAGTGACTCTCTGCCCTCAGACCCCAGTGGCTCTCTCTCCCCAGCCTCCAGTGGCTCTATCCCCCAGACTCCAGCGGCTCTCTCCCTTAAGCCTCCAGCGACTCTTTCCCCCCAGCAGCTCTCTCCCCCCAGCCTCCAGCCATCTTCTGGACCCCCTCCCCATTCCCCCCGGTCCCATTGTACCAGATTGCCAAGAGAACCACTGGAGGCAGGAGGGAGAGAGCTGCTGGGGGGAAAGAGCAGCTGGAAGCTGGGGCAGAGAACCACTGGGGACTGGGGGGGAGAGCCAGTGGAGGCTGGAGGAAGAGAGCCACTGGGGGTTGGGGGGAGAGAGCCACTGGAGGCTGGAGGGAGAGAACAGCTGGAGGCTGGGGGGAGAGAACCTCTGGAGGCTGGGGGCCGGGGGAGGGAGCAGCTGGAGGCTGGGGGGGGGAAACCTCTGGAGGCTGGGGGGAGAGAGCCATGGGGGGAGCAGGAGGAGCCCAAGCTGGGACCACTGATGTCCACAGTGGGATCGGGAGCCGGAGCTGGTGGAACCCATCATGCAAGGAGGTTTCCCACTCAGCTCCTACGTGCACTCAGGCTCAATGTCACAGGAGCTGTGTGGGAAACCGCATGCGATTCGGACAGGAATCACACCACATCCCTTTTCAAATTGCATGCAATTCTTTGCAGAGCGATCTGAGCCCATTCATTTTGTATCAGAGTACTTGACCGAAAGTATCGGTACTCGTACTCGCCGGTAAGAAAACATCTCTAATCAAAGGAAAACTGGACCAAAATCGTGAAAAAAAAATGTTTCTTTTGTAATTTTAGCGGTATAATTTTGCTGTCACCGTAACCCACCAACAGAAAAACCCTAAAATGAATTCCTGGACTCCTGAGGTTCATGGCGATACCGAATATGTGTGCATTATTTATTCTTTGTACCCGTAGTAGGGTTCAAAAACATTACTACACAGTTTGCTTTTTACCAACACCAACCCCAATAAAAAACATTTATTTTTAATCCTACCTAAAACATACTGACCCTGACCTCAACCTTCGACCCTGACCTCAACCTTCGACCCTGACCTCAACCTTTGACCCTGACCTCAACCATTGACCCTGACCTCAACCATTGACCCTGAGCATTACCCTGACACTAACCCGGACCAAACCCTGACTTATTGTAGCTATTTTATCTATATATTGATTAATTTGTTCTTCTCCGAAGATACAATGTATCTTTTCCTTCTCACACAGGAGCAAGACAAATGGGGAGGGCTCTAAAACAAGGGATTACTGTTAAAACCAATCACAGGCTATCACAGTAATCACATGACAGGAGCTCTTGATCTTTAGTACGAGACCAGGAGCCATCAGTGACCGGGGGCACTCTATGGATCATGGTTCCGGCACAAACAAGGATGCACAGATACATGGTGCCTCAGAAGATATCTCACATCTCCCGATTCCCCCCACAAACCTTTATACAACCTCCATAAACGTATAACCCGGCGTGGAGGGGCTCAGTGAAGGTGGCATTAAAGGTGTGAAGAGGGTGGATGGGGTCACCCAGATCATAAAAGGAGATCCGCCCGGCCTCATATTCAAGACATATCCTAAATCTGTTACTACAGATATTGCCAAGGAAGGGGAGAGGTTTATGGCGATATCTCACTCCATACTGGTTCCCATCCCTGTACAAACACCACGACTTTCCATTATTTCCAATAAATGACCAATCTCTCCTCCCTGTCTATACTGGGGTAACACATCCCGACTCTCCATTTATCTGACCCCCCGACATCCACTTCCCAGTAATGTCTCCCTGAGGAGAAACTCCGACTGCTCAACACCTGAGGATAACTCTGAAACCTCTCTGGTGTTTCTGGACGATTTTGGTTTTCACCCGACCAGGATACAGTTTTCCTGTCATCTGATATATGGAGATAATTATATGCCGTACTCACATCCAGTAATATGTCTGCAGCTTCCTGTATATGGAAAATGACATTTACCTCTGTTATTATATCAGATAAACCCGTGTGTATAATCCCAGCCACATCCAGCCCCCCTCCATCATGGAGGAGTTCCTCATGTCTCTCTCTGTCCTCATTATCTCCATCCTCAGTATCACACAAAGCACCTGTGTATGATTCCTGTAGGACAGTCAGTGGATCCGTCATGTTACACAGCTCCTCAATGTCACGCATCTTCCTGGACAGCTCCTCCTTCTTTATTCCCAGATCCCGGATGAAATCCAACATGGAGGAAGATGCCCGCTCTGCCCTCCCGGAGATCTCCCTCAGGACTCTCTTCTCCAGGTCTTCCATACGTCTCCTGAGCTCTCCAAACAGGGCAGTGACTCTCTCGGTGTCACCAGCTGCTTCTTCTTCTACTTTCCTCCTGTGTTCCTGCAGACTCTGGACTCTTCCCTCCATCTCCTCTATCTTTGTCTGAAGAACATTTCTCATTTTACTTTTTTTCTTTTCAGAAGCCTCATCCATCGACTCCATCTTATGACCTGTGTGTTCTCCAATCAGACAGCAGGACACACAGACACAGGTATTGTCCACGGTGCAGTAATACTCCAAGATCTTCTTATGGATGGAGCATTTCCTGCTTTCCATGGACAAGGTGGGGTCAGTTAAGATGTGTTCTGGGGACTTTTTGTGGGCTCTCAGGTGTTTATCACACAGAGTAACCTCACAGAGCAGACAGGATCTAACAGCAGGTACAAGAGAGTCCACACAGTGAGTACAGAAGACACCGGACTCCTCCTGATCTGGCTGAGCAGAAAGCAACTTCTCCATTAAGTTACAGAGCGTTATGTTCCTCTGTAGTGCAGGACGACTCTTGAACCTTTTTTTGCATTCAGGACAGAAGTAATTTCCAGACCCCTCCTGTGTATCCAGCACACGATCAATACAGACCCGGCAGAAGTTGTGTCCACATTTCAGGTTTACAGGATCTGTATAAACGTTCAGACAGACGGAACATTCCAGCTCAGCTCTCAGAGCTTCAGATGCCATCGCTGACAGCAGAAGAGAGAAATAATAAAAAAATCTCTAAATCTCTGAGGAAGAATTCAATTGGGAGGGAAACATTCTTCTACAAAGGGCGAGTCTGGGCCGGATCAGTAATATTTGACACTGAGCTCAAAGCACAAAAGTGGGAGGTTTTGTTTTTCTTTGCAGGTGTGAAGGTAAGCATGTATACCTCCTTACTTTACAAGACAAAGAAAGGGATATCTCTTCTTAATTCCTGCAGTTTGTCTAAATTCTTTCAATACAGCCAAAAAACTGGGGCCCTGTACTGCCATCCATAGACGTAAATGGGTGCTCTTGCTTTCAATAGGCGGCACATTAGTACAGATGTAAATGTGCAAACTCAGATAGTCTGCTTTCAGTACCTTACATCTGTACGCATGCCGCACTTTACACAAGTATGTGTATGAGCCTTTATGGTGACAGAAATAAAACACAAGACATTCAGATGGATATAAATGCACATGCCTACACACATGTACACCCTACCTATCATTTCCTAGCTAATGACTGCATGCTGTTAGGATACAAAATAAAGTAACTTTGTTTCTGTTATTGCTAGTCCATGATTTCTGCAGCAAACAGGACTCCAGACATTTCATGAGTTTGCTGTTAAATGGGTTCTTGGTCTCTCTCTTGTAGTGGGGATTCTAGTGTTTTTTGTCAGATTGTTTTGGAAACCCCCTTTCAGCTTGTGCTGCTGCCCTTTTTATCTAATAGCTGCATGCAATTTGGGTACAGAATAATGTAATTTTGTTTCTGTTTGTCAAGAGAAACAGAGAGCACACGGAAACGGATTGCACAGAACCCCATGTGCGGGCGTTTATTGGGGAGGTTTTTGGGGCACAGACAACAGTTTCTTAAGTCCAGAGATCCACACCAGACACAGCAATACAGTAAAGTTCTCTGGAAGGCAATATGGAACAACAGGGGTATGGTAATCCACAGGGTTCAGTAAGGCAAGGGCGGGGTGGTTTTGTGGGACTTCGGGTTCCTGGGGAGAATTGGGCTCAGTCTTTTGGGCAGTACAGGGTTAGTTCACTTACTGGATGTGGGGAGCCGGACACAGAGGGCTACAGTCCACACTGGCAGCACAGGGTCAATCCACACAGGGAGCTCCAGGCAGGGAAAGGTTAAGTCCATTCGGCTCATGGGCAACAAAGAGTTAAATCCAGGCAGGGACGGTATTCCAGGCAGCAGAGAGTTCACCCCACACAGGAGAGGGATCCAGCAGCAGACAGGCAGTCAGGTCAGCCAGGGAGAGGAGAAGGGGTCCGAGGGATGGTCATCTGAGAGAAACTGGCGCTCAGCACAGCCTTCTCTCACACACATGCAGCCAAGAGAACACAAGGGGGGGTTGCCCTGCTCTCTCTTAAGTACAGAGCTGGGTGCCTGGCTGCTGCAGTGGTAACCCGAGACTTCCTGTCGGGTTGCCATGGCAATGGGCCCTGTCCACCAGGTATCCAGACCCGCACAGGGAACAAGGCCTTTGTCCCTGTCCAGCATGCAGCATGGGAAGATGTGCAGGAGGGGGAAGGGAGGGGGTGGGGGTTTGTTTGTGGATTCCCTCAGCAGGGGGCCAGACTGCAGGCAACAGGAGGGTGAGGGGCTGCTGAGGGCTGCCTGTGTCAGGGACATGGAGGACTAGAAGTCCCAGCATGGACGGGACAGAAGAGTGAGGGGCTGCTGAGGGGTGGGGGGTGGCAGGCAGCAAGCCTAGAGGATGGAGGGAAAGGGCCAGCTTCGTGACACTGTTATTGCTAGTCCATGATTTCCGCAGCAAACAGGACTCCAGTCGTTTCATGAGTTTGCTGTAAAATGGGTTCTTGGTCTTTCTCTCTCGTAGTGGGGATTCTAGTGTTCTTTGTCAGATTCATTTGGAAACCCCCTGTCAGCTTGTGCTGCTGCCCTTTTTATCTAATGACTGCATGCAGTTAGGATACAAAATAAAGTAACTTTGTTTCTGTTATTGCTAGTCCATGATTTCTGCAGCAAACAGGACTCCAGACATGTCATGAGTTTGATTTAAAATGGGTTCTTGGTCTTATGCTCTCTTTATTTGGGGATTCTGGTGTTCTTTGTCAGATTCTTGTGGAAACCCCGTCAGCCTGTGCTGCTGCCCTTTTTATTTAATGACTGCATGCAGTTAGGATAAAAAAATAAAGTAACTTTGTTTCTGTTATCAGTAGTCTAAAATTTCTGCAGCAAACAGGACTCCAGACATTTCATGAGTTTGATTTAAAATGTTTTCTTGGTCTTTCTCTCTCTTGTAGTGGGCATTCTAGTGCTCTTTGTCAGATTTGTTTGGAAACTGACTGTCAGCTTGTGCTGCTGCCCTTGTTATCTAACGACTGCATGCAGTTAGGATACAAAATAAAGTAACTTTGTTTCTGTTATCGCTAGTCCATGATTTCTACAGCAAACAGGACTCCAGACATTTCATGCGTTTGCTGTAAAATGGGTTCTTGGTCTTCCTCTTGTAGTGGGGATTCTAGCGTTGTCAGATTCTCGTGGAAACCCCCTGTCAGCTTGTGCTGCTGCCTTTTTATCTAGGAATTTATAGTCTTTCCCACATGGGCATAAACCCTTTCGACTTCCTACATACACCAATTTCTTGGAAGAAGCATTTCTTTTTTTTTTATTATATCTTTTATTGAATTTTTTTAGTACAAAACTTCATATACAGTATACATGAATTCTATTTTTCATCACCTTATACCCTACCCCCCCTTCCTCCCACCTGCACCCCCCCCCCTCCAGTTACCCCTGTCCACACCCCCTTACCTAATATCTATCTCCTTTCATACCTCTATATCTATGTCCCTTCCCTCCCACCTCCACCATCCCTTTCAAATACTCCGTCAAACTCTCTCTACACTTTTTTTCCCCTAAACTCCAACCAAGACCAAATATCTTTTAGATGTTATTTTGTCCCATTACTTTTGGTCCCTTAACAAGTGGGAGGCACACACGCAAACTGTTGTAATTCCTACACCGTTCACCTGATTTGGATGTAAATACCCTCAAATTAAAGCTGACAGTCTGCAGTTAAAGTACATCTTGTTTGTTTCATTTCAAATCCACTGTGGTGGTGTATAGAGCCAAAAATGTTAGAATTGTGTCCATGTCCCAATATTTATGGACCTGACTCTATATCCCGCACACTTAAAACTTTCTTTGTCGATGGACTAATATTCCCATGAAATCCGGAATTTATTTGGTATCCAAACAATCTTCCCTAACTGTGCCTTACTCAAAAGCCCTTCCATATTTACCTCTGTTTACAAATTTAATTCGTTCTTTGGGACTTTTCGTATTGCGAGAAATTCGTTAACCAAAATGTGGTTTCCCCTAGGAATGCATTGAAACCCACTTTAAAGGCATAAATACTGTACAGGGACATAATTTAAAAAAAATCGTAAATGCATTGAAAATCAATCAGTTCCGGAGGTCAGAAAAAAGTAAAAAAAAGTCTTTTATCTGTTCAAAACCATAATTAAAAAAAATTTGTAAATGCATTGAAAACCAATTAATCAGTTCCGGAGGTCAGGAAAAAGTAAAAAAAAAAGTCTATCTGTTCATAACCTACTGGAACAAAAAAAATCCACTTCTAAATTCAGTCTCTGCATTTTTTCAAAGTTCATGTCGCAACTGTATGATGGTCCCTAGCGAATGGCTACAGCTGAGGCCACCCTTCATACACTACACTGCACTACAACACTACAAGGGTGTCGACCAGCAGAAGATTACATAATAAATATAAAGTGCAGCGCTAAAATGTCAAACCAACAGTTTGTTCAAAAAAGTTTGTGCAATATTTCAATTGATATAGTGACAACCAGGTAGTAACACAGCTGTGAAAGATCCAGTAGAAATGACAGAAATGCGC